ACCTCTTTATTGGTTGGTTGTGAGGAGTGTTGATTTGTATAAGCTTGGCTTGACCAGACTAAATGGGCATATAGCCCTGCTCCCCATGACCGCCGTGCATGGGACCGGACCTTGGTCTTATTTAAAAAAAAAAAAGTGGACCTACAGCATTTCTAGTTGAGGACCACTGCTCTAAATTGTCCTTAAGTGTGAATGCAAATGGTTGTTCATGGCCTGCGATTGGCTGGCAACCAGTTCGAGGTGTACCCTTGGACACATTTTGCACACTGCAATCGTTGCGGGAAAAAAAAATGTACCGTAGCAGGCCTGAGGATTTCAGAAATTCACGGTAACCGTTTTTCGGTTCTGTCGGATTACCCAATGGGAAACCATTTTGACTGATATTCATAATCAAGAATTCTGATACTCAAAAGTATAATGTTTCAAGGGTAAATGTTTGAAAACTATGAATTAACAATGAACATTACATCAGCAGCTGTGTACTCAACCGAAAGCTACTGTCCAACGGACTGAAACCCCACCGGACACCTTGGCAACTCCCAAAACGAGCTTGCCTTGAACGCAAGATGGCCAGCTATTCATGCGGTCTGGCAGGCTGAGTAGACCAGTGGACAGACTGAATCTGTAAGGGTGTACGAAGAACGCTGCCCAAACAGATCAAAATGTTTTGTGAAAAAAAAAAGAAGAGTTGTTAAAGATGTTTAAAGAAGTTAAAGTAATCACTGGCTAATTGTGTTGCTGTTTGTATATTCAAAAAAAGTTAAGGTAATTTTGTGTTGTTCTGAAATGTTATGAACGAAACAAAACAAAAAAAGCGGGAGATGTCATATAAGGACTACAGAATATGCATTGAACTTTACGACAGCAGTTCGACATGCAGTAAAGAGCTGCTATCGGGTTACCATAGCAACCGACCTCATGCATGTGAAAGAAAAGAACGTGTCAACGTTACTGTTACACTGGCCTGTACAGTTCCCAAGCTACAAGTAAAGAACCTCTGTTAAGTGGACATTCTTCAATAACATTACATACATCTTTAATTTTGGAGTGTGTGTAGTGTTGTCCAGATTTACCATGAATTATAATTTTATAAAACATAGGATATTGTGCAATCACTAGATTTACGAAGCAACACCGTAATTAATGACCTAATGATCTCAATAAAGCAATAAATGGTGTGTTTTGATTGGTCAGATTCCGTTTACCCGCAGGACCAAATCAGGGATGGTCCTAACTGGCTCTCCTTCCAAAAGAGAATTCCAGTAGAGAATACCCCTTAACTAAATAGTTCTTAAACCTTTACTGTTGGGATTAAAAAACGTTTGTCTGTCTCTTTTCTGAATGTTTACATCATCTTAAACAAAGTTGTTACCGGTGTAACCTGTTTTTTGACTGTTTTGTGTAGATTTTTACAGTACGGGTCAAAATGACCCACAACATAATCAATGTGATTTTTTTTCAACATAATATGAGGGTTAATCCAGTGGCAGTTCTGGGGAGGGACCAACAGAGGCCAGTGCC